GACGGCGCCGGCAATGGCGCGAGTTAGCATAATCCGTAGATATGTTTTCTGTTTTTCGTCGTTCGACTTCTGGCACAGCTCACAAAAACCGAACTGCGGTAGCGAACGCAGCAGCAGCGACTGAGGTTCACAAGAACGCGCCCTCTAGCTGTCGGTGAGGGAGAAGAAACTTGCAACGGTGGGTGTCGAGCATTCGACGCAGACGTGTCGACACTGCGACGGGTCGCCTATAGGTAGCCGATCCGAGCTATAAAACATGCATCGGATCGACCAAAGCTGTGCCATGATCGTCCGGCCGACCAAGACGTAGAGTTAGCCAACGTTCATGCATAGACGGTCGATCGTGATCGACGAACCAACGAATACTTAGAGTGCTAACTTTGGCATAACTCAGCATAATGACCTACTCATTGAGTCATCTTATCACTGCGGGCGACCGTCGCCTGTGAGGAGCGAGTGGCCAAAGTGGACTCCGCTGTCTACCGTTTCACGCACGAAAGTCGTGCATCGAAATTCATATGTCGTGCACGCTTATTACAGACAGCGTCGCATCGTAACAGCAAACTTTGCCGTACCGACGCGACGGTACGGTGACGTGACGCTCAGGTTCCGGCGATGAACCTCATCCTGGTCCGGGTCGCACGCTCTCGACCTCGTGTTGACCGTTTCACGCTGCTAGTGACACAAACGAAACTCTAGTGATGTTCAGGTCGTCAAACGAAAGTGCAGGTCGCTTTTTAGCGTCGATCGGTACTTCCGTTGCAGCGAATGAAAGCACGGCTTAAACTACGCTGGTTTTCGGTTTTCGGTTTTCTTCGTTGTGTCGGGTCTCGGCAAACAGATTTGATTTCAAATAGTTTACTTTGTTCTGTCACGAAAAACGCTAGCATTTTTTAAAAGCAGTACGGAAAGAGTCGACGACCGCGGCCTGCTAGAGAAAGCGAGAGCGAAAGCGAAAACCTGCTTCGCATTCTCAAAATGTTTTGTCGCTTGACGACGGTGGCTGTGGTCGCAGCGGCACGGCTTACTTCGACTAAAATCCGGTCTCGTGCCCCCCCCTCTCCCACCTGAACAAGATCAACGACAGCGCGGCCGTCGAGGAAACTGTGAAGCGGCAGGGGGCAGCATCGCACCGTTCTTTCGGTTTTCCGTCCGTCCCTCCCTGTGGCACGTAACACACGGCGTCTGTGCCTACCACTTTCGCATCTGAGAGGCGTGTCCGAACGTCGGTGTAACCCTGTCACTGAGCGACGCGATTCTCATCTGGTCTGATCTTTTTTTTCAGACGAATTTGCCAGTGACTGGCGACGGAGCATCGTCCGTCAGCGATCGTTTACCTACGTTTGCCTACGTCTACCTGAACTCCGGTTTTGTGCTCAAGTGCAAAACCTGAGGGTCGAACTCAAGCTTGAGTGTAAGAACAGCAAAGATCGTTAATAGCGTCGTTCGCTGGTCATCGCTAATCATGCGGTCAGGCGAAAGCCGCTAGCACATCGTTGGCATTCGAAATGCGTTTCGACGAGTACGAATCACAGCGGCAAACATTGCCCTGCCGTACTTCTCATTTTGGTACCACCGTAGCCGTTGAAAACGGCTAGCCATTGCAGCCGGCACGTCCGGCCGGCGACATGCTGACCGGTCCGGTCCGGTCCGTTCCGGTCTGGTCTGGTCCGGTCCGGTCCGATGCGATCGATCGATTGACGTGGTGGACGGCTGTCCAGCGAACATGGAGTACATGACGACCGCCGCCTACGTTTCGAACTGACATGCCGCTGTAGTCAAATTCGTTCTTATACACAAGCATCGACGTGGTAGCCGTGCGTGTTACGCGTTGGAACGATACACTTCTGCATCCTTCTGCCTGTCTCGACATCACATCTCTGGCACGTACGCAAATACCATTGAAGAAAAACGCATCCATCAACTGTCAAATCTTAAACTTCACTTCTTAGCACAAGCAGAATTCACTGATCGCAACGAATGAACATGTGGCATTCTACAGTGTCTACGATAATTCACTATGCGGTATTAAAATTAAATTACTGTACCTTTCAGTAAAGCTGCGTTCTTTGCAACAGTATCATCTGTCTGAAGCAGAACATGTCGATCACGCGACCACTGCTTCTACGCAAAGCGTTTAAGATTAAGACTGTTCGTGAGTCGCCTCGCCCGTCACCGCAAAGGAAACGGCCAGTTCTCGCCAACACTCAGGTGATTAATTAATGCCGACAGTTCAGCAGAGATTTGCATTTGAATTTGAATCGAACAATCGAAATGGACACCGGTACAGTTTTCTTGAACCAACCCAGGAGGTGATTTCTCGAAAGATTAACTCGTACCCTCTCATGTGCTGAGTTTCGATTCATCGATTTTTCCATGCTAGTTAGTACTTGAAACTGGATAGTCTTAATTGACAGATCGAACGATGTCATAAGGATACACTTGCCAACGCCAACTCCAACGCATTCTCCAGCTAGCATCCATGGTTTCGTACAGTTAATGTGTCCATTCTTAACCTTGTAACCGGATTCTCCCTGTGAGTATGCTCGGCACTGCCACCGACGTACTAACGAATAACTGTATTTAAGGATCGCAACAGTTCGCTGCCTCATCATCAGACGTCGTTCGACCTCCGTAATGTTTCGCAATCCTCAAAGCAGAGCCGCAACGTAATATGCAGTTGACGATGTTTGGCGACGTGCTTCAACGCAACGAAGCTCGTCGGCCTGTCAGAGTTCAACGATGTGTGAGGCAATATCCTGCCTATTTAATCGTTATGATGGACTTTTCCAAGCCTCCACGGGAAGACACTCCGGCGTGATTGTCCACAAGAAGTCAGTTTCCTCATATCAAGCTGTTGTGACAGTGTTTGCAGTGGCCTTCGCAAAAATGTTCTAAAGCAGATTTCACACATCTCGCACCGAAAGACCTCTTCAAGGGATTTCATTCCATTATCCTGCTTTAAAATCAAAGAAGACCGTTAATTGGATTGCCGAGTTGACCGTCTAAATAAAACTGCTATTTCAGGATTTTAGCCTATTAGGAATCCACGGCATCACTATTCGTAGTTGAATATTATAGAGCCGTACTAAAGAATGCGTATTCGTATTCTTGAATGTAATCTTGCCTTTAAAGTATACACTGATATCATGAATGCATTTGCGTGCTCAATTCCAGATTAAAGCAAACAAACACGGTCATACTTCTGCCTGAGGTCCGTGCAGTGCTACGGGCAGATTTGCCTTGAAGGTATGGCGAGGTTTCTAAAACTCAGCTGTGATTGTTCTTTTATCCGATTATATCCGGATTGAGAACAGGTCTTCACAGCTAAAGAAGAAAATATAAACACGTTCTCTCTGCTGCGTTTAGCTTGGCATGAGATTCAGTCTTTTATTAGTATGCCGGTCTCTGCGCCATTATGAACAGGTAGATGAATCTACAGACCTCAAAGTTGTAGAAATCTTTTGAAGTTGCCTTAATTTCTTTAATCGGCCTGTATTCAGCAATTACAAGGATTGCGCCGGT